TGTGCCTTAGAGCAGCCTCTCCCCAGCTGGGGACAGGACTGGGAGGAGGCCGGCACTGCAGTCCCCTGGGGAGAGCCTGGGCGGCCTCCCACGCAGGGCACGTGGCGAGGATGAAGGGCAGGGCTTGGGCCTGCGGGAAGTTGGGGACCGTCAGTCCCTAAGCTGGAGCCTCTTGGTTTGCTGCTCTCACTGCCAGACCATGGACTCCGATGTCTGTGAAGGAGCTCTGAGCACCGCCTGCCCCCACACAGGCTCTGCTCGGGCCTGTCCTCCACCAGGCAGAGCCAGAGAGCTGCAGAGACGCACCACTGGCCTAGGGACACTGGCTTCCTGGCCCGTGGCACCCCAGAGAGCCTTAACCAGGATGTGGCGCTAGATCTGGTCCAAAATGACAGCCACCTCCTCTCCCTCCCCTGCCCACCCCCTCAGGCCCTCTTCCCCTCCCCGCGGCCCCCCCAGCTGCCCACGGACCCAGCAGCCAGGCTGCACTGGGCAGGCACCATGCCCCCCCTGGGTTTGGGCCCGAGTGCAGGAGCCACACCAGGAGCCCCGTCGTAGGCAGCCCTGTGGGCAGCCAAGGTCACCATGGAAACCTTGAGGAACAGATACAGGGAAGAAGAAAGCATTGCTTGTGACCGTGCTTCTGACACCTCACAGCCTCATGGGTAGCCTTCTAGTCTTTTCTGCGTCCCAGAGCTGGAGATGAACTCTTCCAAAAATTTTGATTCCCGTGTTCCTTCACTTAACAATCATAACATGAGTCTGTCCCTGTGGAACTTTAACCTCTTCTCAGATGTCACTGTTCACATCCTTGGACATACTGCCCGGGCAGAACAAGGCCTGCTGCTCCTGCCCTGGCCACCCTCTCCTTGGCCTCAGGCCCCTGTGACTCCATGGCCATCACCTCCCCCATGTGCCTCTCCGGTGACTCGCTCTGCCAGGCCTCAGTTTCCTTCGCGCTGTGTTGTGAGGATTAAGTGCCTCCGTGCATGGCTACACCTCTGTGCACGGATCTCAGGTTGCTGGTTGGGACTGAATTCCAGGGGTGTGGCATCGGGGACCTCGCGGCTCTGCTCGCCCTGCAGGGCCTCAGCCAGTACTGAGTCATTTAGCAGTATTTCTGGAGCGCCTACCGTGAGCCAGGGGTTGTTCTAAGTGTGGGGCCTGCAGCATGGAACAGACGGACAGAAGCCCCTGCCGTGGTGGAGCTTATATGTTAGCAGGGGCAGTGTGAAACAGCACAACAGGAGCTTACCGCCCGTGTCAGAAGGTGGTAACAGCCCTCGGAGCAACAGCTGGGCCGGCGGGACCAGGCAGCCAGGCTGCAGGTGACCCAGAAGGGCCTCACCAGGAGGTGGCACTGGCCCTGTGCGTCGAAGGAGGTGGACCCAGGAGCCGCGGGAAGTCCTGGGTGGAGGGATCAGGGTGCAAAGGCCCAAGGTGAGGCGCCCAGTGTGTTGGGGCGAGAGGGCAGTCAGGCACAGTGCAGGCTGGGTCGCATGGGAAGGGGACAGAGCTCCATACATGCTCCTTGTGACTCCAGGTGTTGCCAGGGGCTATCCCAGAGGGTCACACACCGCCGCGTGGCCTCCCAGAGGGTGGTCCCTAAGAGGGGATGGCAGCTCCGCGACAGCAGGGTGTCCTGCCTGCCTCTGTCCCCGGGGCCCCAGGAAGTGCACCGGAACCACTCGTGAACATGGCAGGTGGACAGCTGGTACCCTGAGTTGGTGCACGGCTCCTGCAGGCCCCTGGGACCCTCCCTGGTTTGGACTCCCATGGCGCCTGGCACATGGCGCACCCTGTGGACGGGGTAAGCTGTGGTCACCCTGGACCCCTGGCCCTACAGCCCCACCAGCACATCCATAGCTGAGTGTCAGGCTCAGTCCCACCCAGGACTTGGCATTCAAACTCCCTTTGCCTGCAGACCCTTGTCGGGGTCTCATGCGGCTGGTCTCTGTCACCTGACCCCCATCCCAGCACTCTTCCTCAGAAAAGCCTGACCTCAGCCCACACAACCCTCCTGCCCCCGTCCTGGCGACACAGCTGTTTTGTTTCCTTATTTGCCCTGGTGGCTATCTGGGTCATCTTGCTGGCTTGTTTACTATCTACCCCTGTTCAGACTAGTAAACCCCATGGGGCCGGGCCCTGATCACCATTATCTTCCAGTTCTGGAGTGTTCTCTGAAAGGCCTGAGGGCAGGGTGGGAGGAGCAGGGTGGGTGACTCAGCCTAGGCTGAGGGCCGCTGCGTCCAGCTGGTGTGGGCAGTAGCTGGGGCCGCCCGACTCTGTGACCTGTGCTTTGCTTCCCTCCATTTGCCACTTGGCCGAAGGGAAAGGCCACTGTCAAACAAAGCAGCTCCCTCCATTTGCCCCAAATCCAAACATCTCAGCATCCCCAGCGGACTTGTCTCTGGGTTGGTCAGCTCTGGGTGCTGTTGTGTCCCCGTAATGAGCCTGACCATCTCAGAAGAGCAGTTAAGTGGCCACGTCTTCACCAGTGCCAGCTAGGTTTTCCGGCTCTGCTGCTTCGGGCAGTGCGAGTTAGGCCCTGCATGTAATGAGAGCTGTCATGGGCAAGATGGGCAGCCGATTGGGCCACGCCTGTCTCCTCAGCCCGGCGCAGGCGCCGGGGAGCCCCACACCTCTATAGCCATCAGACCTCCTGGCACCAGAGAGAGACAGGCGGCCCATGCCATTTGTCAGGGTCTGGTGCCAGCCACCTTTTCTGTTTGCAGAAGGAAGACCGGGGCTCTGATTTGGGGAGTCAGATACCTGCAGGCCTGGTGCTTGCTCACGGGGGCTGGCCCAGAGCCATTCCCACGCCACATGGCCCGTCCCCGATGTGCACAGACCAGCTGGGTGGGGAGCCAGCGATAAGACACTGTGCTGCCCAGCAGGAGGGCATCTCCCTGTACAGATCCCAGGCCCACAGCATCCTGAGCCTCACCACTACCCCTGTAGGTCTGGCATCCCAGGGGGCAGGATGGAGGTGGCCGACATTCTTGCATAGGCCTGTGGGAGGGAGAAGAGCTGGGCAGTGGGCGGGGCTGTCCCTGAGAAACTACAGTTGTCCCTTGAACCAGCCTCCCAATCACTTTTAAATGTCCAGGAGGCATAGGGATGGTGCAAGATGCTCTCACAGCCTATATTCCCCTGCAGAACCATTTCCAGGAGTCTGCTTAAAATGGACGCCCCCCAACCCGCAGGGGTGGGCTAGGGCAACTAGCCTGCATTTGTCGCCAGATGTGGGCACAGAGTTCAAATCTTTACTCTTCCCAACTCACCATCAGGCCTGGAGCAAGTCACTGGCCTCCCGGGACTCCTGTTTTCTCATCTGTGAAATGAAGAGGTTGCCAGCCTCTCAGCAAACATGTACTGAGTACCTGGTCTAAGCCAGAAATTACCCGGCCACCCCTGCCACCCAGCACTGCCCTCTGATTGAGACCCCACAGGCCATGGTCCTCCCAACACAAGCTTAATGCCTGAGCCTTATGCTGGCTTTCCTCAGAGAGACACAGCTGGGGCCAGGGAGGGTGCCCTCCAGGTACCAGGCTGTGAGGGGAGGGCAGCTCTCTGCCTCACGCCCACCCCAACTTGCCACAGCTCTGGACACCCAATTTCTAGGTCCACTGGCCACTGCAGCCCCTCTGTGCAAATTAGGAGGGAGTGCCCTCTCTGAGGAATGCAAAGGCCTGCCAGGACCCACCTTTAGCAAGCAGGACATGGGCACTTAACACTCTAGAATATGAATTGTCCTCCCAGCCCCATGGCAGTCTCCCAGGGCCCCCTCAGCTTACCCTCACCACAGCCCTGCCTACTTGCTCCCATCAGGAGCCCCAGCAGGGCTGTGGGGCTCACAGAGAGCAAGCAGCTTATTCTAGGGCACTCTGCTAGTGCCAAGTGTCTGGGGCCTGGCCACAGCCTGGTGTTACCCGGGCCTTGGCCCCTCTGCCTGGGGCCAGCCAAGCGGTGTCACCCAGGCCAGCAGTCTACAAAGAGGCTGCGCTGCACTGCCACCAGGCCGACTCCTCATAAAGACAAGCCCTGCGAAGGGAGACTGCAGCCTGGTATTAAAGGACAAAAGGACCTTCCTCTGTTGGCAAGGAGGGGAAGGGTGTTCCAGACAGAAGGAACAGCATATGCAGAGGCTAATAGCATGACCGGGAGCCCAGGAATTGTCACATGCTCCTCAGGTTACGGGGTAAGCACAAAAGCAGTGGTGATGGACTGGAAGAGGTGGCATCGGGGTGTTAGCAGAAAGCACATTTCCACCCCACCCTCCAGGTGGAGGGGGTGAAAGGAAGGTCTGTATGAGGCGTGGGCATTTAAAGGACCCAGCAAGATGTGGGAGGCAGCGGGTCACTCCCTGGCAGTGGGCAGACAGCCAGAGTCCAGGCAGGACCCCCAACAGGAGCTCCAGCCAGAGGAGGTGGGGACCAATACCTTGACCTCTCTCTCCTGCCATCTGATCAGCTGGGGCTTCCCAACCGGAAGCCAGAGGGCACAGGAGCCCTTAATGTCACTGCAGGGGTCAGCCTCCCAGGCACACAGAGGAGAGTGGCTCTCCAGGGGCAAATGGAGAACGCCAAGGCCCAGGGGCCTCAATGCCAGGGTTCAGGGTGTGGTGTTCGTGTGAGTGCATGGGAAGCAGTGGGGCCCTTTAGAGCAGGGGAAGGGTGTGGCCACCAATGCGGAGCTGACCCCACAGGGGCCTGAGTGCAGGGCTGGTGGGTGGGCAGGAGATCCAGGGTGGGGCCTGCTGAGCTCCATGCTGGATGGGTGTGGACTAGCATGGTTGGGGAGGGGCAGGAATGCCGGGATTTCAGAGGCAGAGTGAACCACAGGCCCCGCAGAGGGAGGCAGAAGGGTGGCGCTGGGGTCCTCGCTCGGCCCAGCAGAGTGCGAGGGAGTTGCTGAAACCCGAAGGGACTTGGAACTGGACCAACATGGGTGCCCATCCAGGGCTGCAGAGTGAAAGGCGTTCCCTTTATGTCTTGCAGGTGGCCTAAGCCCCGAGACCAAGAAGATCCTGACACCCACCTTCAGGAAGCGGGGCCGGGCCGGCCGAGGGGAGGCGGCCAAGCAGGAGGAGGGTGCTGAACATTCCGAGCCGGCCCAGCACGTGGGACTGAGCCTGTCTTTCAAGCGTTATGTCTTTGACATCCACAAGCACATGGTCCAGTCTCCCTGAGAGCCCCAGTGAGCTCCTGCAGGGCCACCTGCCCAGGCCTGGGCTGAGCCACAGTGCCAGACACCCAGCCAGACATGCCTCAACCTCCCTGGTCTCTCCCCACGCCCTGCAGGCAGCAGGCCCCCAGGCCTGGCGCTCAGCTTATGAGAAGCCTGGGGTCAGGGGTGGGAGCTCCAGGGTCGCCAAGGCCAGGAAGATCCGTCCTTTCACCCCTCAGCCTCCAGGAACAGGCAAGACTAGAGAGCTGGTGGCCACATGAGGGCCAGGCCCCACCCTTCCCCCAGGTGGCCTGGCACTTGCCAACTGTAAATAAATGTGCTGTGGTGCCTACCCACCTTGCTGGTCTCCCCTGTGATTTCATTAGGGGGTCTGCTCTCAAGGGCGATGTCAGGAACTGCCAGGGCCCCTTCCGAGAGCAGGGCTGGGGGAGGAACCTGACCCCAGAGCCCAGTGGACTAAAGGGGTCCACAGGCTGTCGGGCCCCTAGGCCAGGCTGGGTGGCTGCTGGGCCCTGCGGGAGCATATGAGGTCCTCTGGGCGGCTGAGTGCAGGGAGGGCACCCCTGGGTGTCGGGAGCAGCAGGGTTCCAGGCCAGGGTTTCAGGGCAGACACAGGCTAGAGTCTCCTCCATCCCCACAGACATCAGGAATCCCTAGGCCCCTGCCTTCAGGTTTGGGGTGCACACTCTCCCCAGTGTGGGGGGTAAGGGCAGGCGAGCACCCTGCCAGCCAGGGAGAGTGAGCACAGCCCCTGGGGCCCAGGAAGCTCTGAACTTGCTCCTCTGCCCACTGAACCCACAGGCCACCCGACCCGCAGCCAAGCTGTTGATTCTCAGAAAAGGATGAGATGGCAGAACGGGCCAACTGAGGGGAAATCAGAGCTTTTAAAGACATCTGTATAATGAAGAGATGTTCTAAGCCTCAGATGGGCACAGAGACCTCCCTTTCATCCTGGTTATTGGTGCATTAGGCTTTAATTTTTAAAAATGGCATCAAGAATATCAACAAGGGCAGTTGCAGTACAGTGACATGGGATTGTGAAGCCCTGAGCTATGGGAGCAGCCTGTGGGACAGGCAGTCTGTGTGTGGCCCCAGCAGGGACCCAGCTGAGATGCCAGGCCAGGGCAGAGGTCCAGGGGGCACTGAGGGCTGGGCGGGCAGGGAGACCAGGCCCCAACTGGGGATGAATGGGGAGAGCGCGCTGGTGCCCCAAGCATGGCCACAGCTCATGTTCCCCACCGGGACCATGACCACCGTGGCAACGTGGTGCACCTTGCCTGACCAGACAGGCTCTGGGCCCTCTCTTGTCTGGCTGCCACCCCTGCCCTGCAGACCATATCACACAGGGAGGTAGCGGGCGAGGGCTCCTGGGGTGGACCTCAGGGCAGAGGTCCTGCAGAGCCCAGCACCTGCTGGGTGCCAGGCCCCGGGCTGGCCACTTCCTGTGGCAGCTCAGCCCTTTGGAGTGGGGTCTCCCCAGGACGTGCCCCGTAAGTGAGGAAACCACCTGTCCTCGCGCTCAGCTTGTGGAAAACGGAGGCAGGAGCTGCTGGTTCCCCGTGACCAAGGGGTGAGAAGCCGATCCCTCCCTTCCAGCCCCCCATGGAGGTCCCTGCAAGTTGGGATGGAGAGGAGCCCTGGGCTCAGCTTCAGGTCCCTGCTCCACATGGGCTGTGTGACCTTGGATACGTCACTGTCCCTCCCGTCACATGAGTCACATGACTGAGCAGAGCCACTGTCCCGGCAGGCATGGAGGGGGCTTGGTGAGCAGGAACCAGCTCTGGAGACAGGTTCATGCGGAAGTGACAGGCAGACACAGGTGAGCTGGAACCACTGCCTCGGTTCAGATTGCGGCCCCTCTGCTCTGGGACCTCAGACAAGTCCCCTAACCTCTGTGCCTCAGTGTCCCCATGGACAAAATGAGAACAAATTCGGATGCTTTATAGGGTTGCTCAGTGACCTGGGCACACTGCTGGCCATCGTGTTCCCAGAGCCCCTGGGCGTGGGGCCAGCAGACAGTGGCTCACCACCAAACTGCTCAGAAGGGGTGCAGCACTCCCCCAAATCGGCCATTTTCCCAGGACCTCTGGGAGGGCCCCCAGACCCACCCACGCCTTTCTGCCCACCTCACAGCCAGGAAAAGAGGCGCAGAGAGGAGGAGGCAGCCGCCGTGGTTGGGCCACAAGGAGGGGCCACCCGTGTGTGGCTCCCAGAAGCCTCGGGCCTCCCAGAGAGTGTGGCCAGGCAGCCTGCTCAGTGTAGCCGACCTCCCAGGAGGGGCCCCTATCAGGCCTGGCATCAGTGGAAACCTGAGTGCCATTAACCAGGTTGGGCCAGGCACAGCCTCTGAAGGGGAAACACAGCTGGGTGGATGGGCGGGGTGGGCGCCGATGCCCAGCTTCCTGACCAGCAGTGTCCCCCTTCCCCTGCCTCCCTGGCCAGTCCCAGCCCCTGTGTGTCACGGGGTGCCAAGCCCACCACAGCCACCATCGCACGCATACACTCATTGCATCTGTTCATCCACCGCAGGACTGCTTGGGAAGCACCCTTCCCATTTTAGATGTGGGGATCGGGTGGCAGGACTGAGCTCTGCCCACCCCAGCTGTTGCCTCAAGTAGAGTTGGGATTTGAACCCGGGTTCCAGGTGGCTCCAGAGCCCTCCCTTCACCCCTCGCCCCAGTGCCTTGGCTGTGTCCTTGGAAAGAGGTGCCCCTGGGGTCTGCTTTGGGACCTGGGAGGCGGAGGTGGGGGAGCAGTGCTCTGCCCAGCCCTGCCACCCACCTGCCCACCCAGGATGAAGTCATGGGCAGGCGTCCTGCCACGGCTGGGGCAGGAGGGGCAACCATGATTGGCAGGCCCCTGACCAGCAGGGCTTATGCACCAGCAACGAGATAAGGCTTATCTGGAAATGTCCCTGGAATCGAGACTCCGATGGAAACAGGCATCTGGGTTAATATATTTTTGATAGATAAAGTCTGGCAAACGGGAAGCACTGGGGGCAGGGGCAGGAGAAGGGGTAGCTTCTGTTCTCCAGGCCTCCTGCCCAGGTTGTGCAGCACACCTGTGTGTGTGCGTGTGCCCCAGGCCTGTCGGGGTCTGGGTGTGTGCAGGGATGTTGGTGTCTGGGTGCGTGTCAGAGGGCTGAGGGAGACCCAGTCTGTCAGGCTGGGTTTCAGGTGCACCTGTGTGGGGGTGGGTGAAGAAGAGGGCTGTTCGGGGGTGTCCAGTGTGTACAGGGTGGTAACATGCGCATGTCCAGGGACAATTTGTCCCTTGGTCTGCAGGGGCTTGGAAGTTGGTGGGGCCTCTTCCCCAGGACATGGGATGGGAAGGTGGCTCATCAGCCCTGTTCCACAGACCCAGAGCCCCTTGGGGTCGCCCAGGACCCTCTCTGTGCTGGCTCACCCTGGGCACTGGGCCTGGTCCTTCCCAGCCTCTGCACAGAGTTCAGCATTTCCAGGTTCCCTTCCAGAGGCCAAGGCCAGCCAGCCCTGCTCACAGCCTCCCAGCTCCGAGTTCAGCCATGTCTGTCCTCCATGGCCCTGTCTGGGGTGAGGGGAGGCATCTTACCAAGGGGCTGCCTGTGCAAGGTCTTGAAGAAAGAATAGGAGTTTGCCAGGGCAGGAAGGGTGACATCTGGCAGAGGGAACAGCAGGAGTAAGGGCTCTGGCCAGAGTGCATGGTGGCTCTGTGTGAGGAGGGATGAGGTCGCTCCCGGTCTCCCCCAGCCCCCGGTGGGCCTCCAGGAGCCTCCACAAGGGTAGCCCTGATTAAAAAGGGTAATTAGCACTTGGCTGATAACAGAGTCGAGCCATAAATTAACCAACTCAGCCAGCACCAGGGCAGCCAGGGACTCCGGGAGCCCGGGGCTCCATGTGCTCCCTGGGGCCAGCTGACCCCAACTCCGGGCTCACAGGGGTCAGCCGGGCGCCAGGGGTGGGGGCAGGGAGGTAGTGGGGCAGCTGTGGAGCCAGGCCAGGCAGGGCTGCAGGCCTGGAGGGCTGCCTGCAGAGTCCTAAAGGGCAGAGGCAGGAAGAGTGTGTCTGGAGGGGTTTCAAGAGACCCCTCCGGTGCCCAGTTCCCACCAGCTCTGGACACCCCTGCAGTGAATCTCCTGGGCCGGGAGGTCAGGCTCCGGCACCCCCTCCACCCCCCAGGGACTGATACCTTGTGGGTTGAAGGAAGATGCTCAGCATTAGTTGTTGATGGGTCAGTGGGGTCAGGGAGGGGGCAAGTGCCAGCTGAGGCCCTGGGAGGAGGAAGAGGACATTTGGGAAGTTTGGGGATCCAGATAGGGGAATGGGGCTTGGGAGCAGAGATAGGTTTGGGAAGAGGCCCCAATCAGCCAGGCACAGGTGTTGAGCACCTCCTGTGTGCCAGGCCCTGGGTCACAGCCTGGCACTCTCTGGATGCTGTGCTGGGGGCAGCCTGCACCCCACATTCCCACCCTCTTCCCCTACCTCTTATTGGGTGGCCTGCGACCCCCGTGCCTCAGCTCAGCCATCCAGCAAGACGGGCTGCCCCCTGAATCTGGGCCAGCAGGTCAGAGGGCAGGTGCCCTGTGTGTCCCCCAGGATGAGGTATTGCCCCATCCTCCAGGTCCCCCCGCCCATGTTATCACTGGTGAGGAGACTGCGCAGCAGAGAGAAACGGCCGCTTCCTGCGGCCACAGCTGGGGCTCTAGATAAAGGCCAGCTGGGAACCCAGGCCGACCCATGGAGGCGGGGTGAGAGGCCAGGGTCAGCCGCCCACCTCGCACCTCCAGGGACGTCCCACAGCCTCAGCCCTGAACTCCAGGCTTTCTGCACAGTCACCAGGCCAGAGAGGCCGTGGGCTGCTAACTGCCTGCCACCCATTCCACTCTAGCCGGAACCTCTGCTCCGCCAACCTGCACAGCCAGCTCCCTCCCAGGCAGGTCTGTTGGCTCCCCAAGCCCACTGAGCCCACCAAGTCGAGACAGGTGGCTGTCGTGGGCACGCTGTCTAAGCAGTGCTCGCCGGGCTGAACCAGGGCACCACCAGGTGTGAGGGCCACGTGTAGCCACCCTGCAAACAGGCTGTGCCTACCAGTGCCCCCAACTCCCTTCTCTCCCTCCAGTGCTCTGCCCCTGTCCGTCTCTTATCCTTCACAGCTGAACTTGGCCCCCTTCTCCCACCAGCCACACTCTGAGGCCCCCGGGTCCTGGTCTCCGAGCTGCGCCCAGCCCAGACCACGCTGGGCAGCAGGCTGACCCGAGGGCAGGGTGGAGGGGCAGGCTGGGAAGCTGGGGCCTCAGGGCCTCTGGGTAGCACTGCGCTCCCAACCCCCCTGCATTCTCCACCAGGACCTGCCCCAG